CAAAGTGAATGACAGTTCTAACTAGGAAGAAAAAGGAAACACCTACCCGCTAAAAGCAGCAGCTTCGGAGTAGAACAACTGAGGAAGAGGTTAGATAAGCCTCTGAACCACCCATCCCAGTACTTTTCTGTTTTCGACAGTTCAATTCGCCATGTATACAGATGTTCTTTTTTTGTCTACAATGGGACAAAGAGCTCAGCGTTAGTATTCAACTGAAATGAGCGTGGAATAAACTCAGCAAAGCGTGACTTGGAAGACAAAGCAAAAGCACCAAGTCAAATGCTGACGTGGCTCTAATGTCAATTTGTCCCCCACATGTGGCCCTAACTAGGCAACCTTGCTCGCAAAGACTGGATTATCCTCTTAATCCTAAACGTGCTCGCTCCATGTCACAGTAAATTAATGGGTCTGCACATGCTGTACCTGATGTGGTGAGCAAGAGACCCCTTCAATTTCCAGGACTGTCAATCTGCCATCTTTCACTGGAACTAAAAATTCACACACAAAAACACCTGGACCTGTCCTTCAGCGAAGCCTGGGCAAGATAGTTTTGCAGCACCATGCACCAATAGCTTTACCTGTGGGACTTAGTCTGTCAGGTCACATGATCTATACCACCCAGCAGAAACTGATGAGCCTTTATAATATTATGAAATAGAGTCAGGACCCTGCACACAGTGACTTACTGGACAGGACAGTAGTTCTCTTCTAGACCATGTACAATGGCCAAGTTCATGGACATCTAGAAACACTTTCAAGTGGTAACTCACGATGTAGCCAGCAGTCTGAGACCAAGGCCTAAACTCAGACCTGGAGTAAGCAATGAAGTCACAGGAGTTACTCCTGTTTACACTAAGGCCCTGAATGAGAGTTGCACAATTGCTCACTACTCCTTCTTTGGAGAACTTTTACATGCTGTCCCCTAGGCACCTAGCTCCATGGAAGCATCTCCTTTGCTGGCTGCATGGTTGCCGCCTTCTTGCTCCCTGTAGATCTCCAAATACCCTAGAGATGGAGAGACTAGAAGACATTAGTTCTAGCAGAAGAGAGTGAAACTCCCCACCTCTGTATCATCTTCCTTCTTCCTTTTGTTAACAGATCCTCTTCCTTCATAGTCTTCCTCCTCTTCCTCTTCCTCCTCCTCCTCAATAATCCCTTCCACTATAGCTTTAGGGACCTCAGGACTAGCAGCATCTTCACACCTGGTAAAAGAGGACTGGAAATTGATTCCTTTTCCATTGTGAAAAGCAACATCTTAACGATTCTAGGAGAGACTGCCTGCACCTAAAGGATAGAACTGACTCTCTCAGAGAGACTGGCTGATCTGAGGCTCTACCACATCAAGGAGAAAGAAAAGAAAAGAAGAGTCCAGGTCAAACAAGCAAAATTAGTTTTTTATGACAATACTGGAATATAAACAATAGAAATATGTGATGCTGCTGGCAAGCATCATGGTGTTGTATAGGATTATAATGCAATAGACAGATTACTTTCATCATCACTCAACTCCACCACCTTTGGAGTGCAACGGAGAGCTATTTAACAATGAACAGCAGCAGGAGGACAGCAAGTGAAAAATACTATATTCAGTTGAATTGGCAGGAGGAATTTAGGGGCCAAATTTCTGAAGGGGCATCCAGCTAGTCTATTGGTATGAGCACATCTTCGCATGGGCCATTGCACATCCATTGTTTTGTGCTCCACCACTTGCATGTGCAAATGGCTTTTGCACAGGAAATTTTTTTTAATCCTTGATGGGTAATAACATTCCACCCCAGTGAAATTTTGACTGTGACATTCCTAACCATAGGACCGTGGATGGTTGTAAATGGTTTAGTACTACATTCCTCACCCACTGTGTTCAGCCTTGGCAGGTAAGTAAAAGGAGGAGTGGATATCTGCTAGAAGATTGATTTGATTTTTTTTAAAGTACACTTATGCTCTGTTACCAATTTGGGATCTTAAAACATTTAAGAAGATTTTAGAAAACAAAACCTACTGTTTGACTTGGCCAACCATAGAAACTCTGGCAGATTCGAGATTTCTTATCTGTCCACTTTTTACACTAGGAAAAAAAGGGAAAAGGGGGAATCAAAATGGTCAAACATCAAGGGTCAATTGGGTACATTAATCTAGTATCATTCAATATTTAACAGGTCAAGTAATAATAAGAGCACTCCCAAGTTCACCCTTCAAGCACTCATGTCGAATACAGAGATGTGGCCTACAAACACTAGAGTTCCCAGCATGCTAGGATTATCCAGATGTTTATATGGCTCTCACATCACTGTGATAGGAGCATCTCATAAACCTTAATGACTATCTTCACAATGCCCTTGCAGGGCAGTGAAGTCTAATGCCCACTCTGCAGATGGGGGAATTGCGTTCGTAGTCAGGAATAGAACTCGGGTCTCTGGCGCTCCAATCTAATGTCTTAACCGCAAGACCACCCTTCCTCCAAGATCAATTGCAGAATTAACAATACAATGAAGAGTTTTGAAGAGTACACAAACTTGCCCATTACCTCCACTCAATTGCATTCTCAATTGACTTGAATGTTTTGGGACGACTCCGTAAGAAATTCTGCATGCTGTTCAGTGCGTCCATGGCTGTGCCTAAAAACAAATGTTTTGACTTAAATGAACCCACCATCTGACAACATCCTTCCCAACGGTTCTCAAAGGTCTTGATCTATGACAGTGTGAACTGTGTGAGGGAGAGAACCGAGACAAATTTCAGGATTTAAGATAAGTTGATTAACAGAGTTATAGTCGTGAACTATACTGCTGCTCCAAACCAGCTTTCACACAGTTTTTCCAAACACTGGTTTCCAGGTCAGCAAATTTGTAAGTTCTTTGCTTCCCTCATCCACATTTTTAACAGCTCTTACAGGTTTTCTATCATTTCAATAAATCTATCCGCAAAACCTCCATTAGCTGCAATGGTATCAGGGCTTGTATAGTTTTGTACGCTGCTGCCATTAGAGGGTTAACATGTCATATTTGAACAGGTCTGATATTTTAGGCAGTAGAGAGCAGCGGTGATATCATACGGTTCAGTAAGACACTCCCCACCGATCGTGGTCCTGGTTATAAGAATGGGTGTCGCACTGCAAGCATGATAAACAAAATCAAATGGAAAAGTCCATCTTGGAAAACCAAAAGAAAAGCCCAATGTGATGCTAACTACACTATACAATAGCTGGCATATCCATTAGAGAGAAGAGAAACCTTCATACGGTTAACACAATTGAGAAAGACCTCCCAGGCCCAACTAAGTTAATAGGGGAGGAGAGAGGAAGACAGAACATAAAATGATACTGTCCAAGGACATAAAAAAACTTACCTTCCACGACATCAATCATGCAAAGACCCAATAAACTGGGTACCAAATTGGATGCTGCTGTGTGCACTGCAATGGCCCCACCCATACTGTGCCCAATCAGCATGATTGGAGGTGGGAGGTCCCCGTACATAGCTTCAACCACGTTTCCAACATCTCTGGCAAATGAAGAGAGACAGAAGGTTGGCATTCTTCCCCAACGTGTTTCTGAAGCAGATTTGTAAAAACGCATCGGCAGGGGAATGGAAAAATTCAATATGACAAACTTACTCTGAACCCTCTGCTTTTATTTCCTACTCTTCCCTAATACTGAGTTTCTTTGCACACTTGCCTTTTAAGTGAAACCATCTGCCCCAATGGTAATAGATATGGAAGTCCATTCTCTTATCAGTGGCCAGGGATTCAGGAAAGCCCTCAAAGCAGATGCTTAACATTAAACAAGTGCTTTCCTGAATCAGGGATATAAGAATGTCATTCTCATTTCTGTTAACAGGAGATGCCGTCTAACGTGGGAGACTAGACCACCCTGCCCCAGGTCTTGTGGAGCACAAAGGGAACTACAGATGAGGTGAGAGAACTAATCAATTCTCCTGCAGGAGAGAATAAACTGGGGTCAGGAGAAGTGTACTGCGTTCTCAACCCTAATCAACGAGAACCTAAACCAACCCCAGCCACCAAGATTGCAAGAGGCTGGGCATGTAGAACAGAAGCAAAACATTCTCTCTCTCTCTCTCTGGAAGAGAAGCTCTTTGGGGCAGGGACATTATGGACTGGTATGAAGACAAAGCACCAAGCATACTGTTATATTCAGGTTCTTAGAACACACTTGGCACTGCAGTACCTGAGTACCTTTTGGAAAGAGGATAGCAAGTAGTTTAAGAGACACAAACTAAAAAAAAAAATAAGGCATACAGGCTTTCTTGGCTGTAACAATTCACCATACGTGTTGGAAATGGGTGACAGGGGATGATGATTACCTGTTCTGTTCATTCTCTTTGGGGCACCTGGGGGAAGACAGGATACTGGGCTAGAAAGACCTTTGGTCTGACCTGGTATGGCCATTCTTACGTGTTGGAATCAGAGAGCATTATTCCTAGTGCATGAAGTCACACAGCAAGTCTGACTAGCTTGTTTTCTCTATCCAAGCCAAGAGACTAGAAAAACAGACACATATAGCATCGGTGGTGAAGAATAATTTAAGGTATTAACGGGTAAAAAAATTACTTAAATATCTGATTTTTTTTAAACCGTTTCCTTTGAAAATGCAGGAGGATTTATGAATCTGACAAGTTAGTGACAGTTTAATGCTCCAGTTTAAAGACAAATTGGAAATAGCTTTCGAATCTATCATTAGGAGGGCAGGAAGGTTTAAAATGAAAGGCTGCCTATTTGTGTGGTCCCATATTAGCGCTGCTTCAGATCTGAAAAACGATCATTGCATATGGCAGCTCCTCAGGACACCCACACGCACATCAGGAGCTGACGGGTTGTGAGAGCAGCAAGAAGGTGCACAATAAGTCAAAATCTATTTCACAGATGGCCTCCCTGGAACAAACCAAGCGGGTCTGTTAGTATGAAGGACTTTGTAACCTTCAGGAGAATCTCTCTGCACTAAATGTGGGCATCATATAGTATTTTTAGTGGATGGTAATTGCTTCTCTCACAGCTTGTCACAAAAGAAGGGTTTGCGCTCAGAAGCAGGTCACTGCAATTTGATTAAGCAGCTCTCACCATGCCTGAAAGTCTCATTCTGTGCAGGACACGTTTTCTCGACATAGTGGTTCCAAACCTGGCAGGAATCACACTCAACCTTCACCCAAGGGTGAAGGACAGGTATGGAAAAGGAATCTTTCAAGGGAAAGAAAACTGACCCACATCAGGATGGATAAGAAGCGTTGTTTGAAATACAGGCTGAAATAATAACGGAAAGGGATTTTCCCTGCATTTAAGCCAGGCACAGTGCACCCAGATACTCTACTCACTGTAGTGTAATACGAGAACCAGACCCTGAGCTGGTGTAAATCAGTGTGGCTTCAGTGGAGATGCACCAATGTGTGTATTGTGACCTCTTCCAGGAACAAAGGAGACTATAAATAACTAATAATAAGTTCTCCTCCATGCATCTGAAGAAGTGGGGATTTTTTAATTTTTTAACTTTTAAATCAAAGGAGAATTTCCTCACCAGCTTTACCTTTCAGGGAGATCTACAGAACAAGTCAGGTCTGAAATATCTAGCGTCAACTGTTGGAATTATGATTTCAACTTGCAGCTAGCCTGATGTTGCTCAAACTTTCCAAAAAGCAAGGAAAGTTATGAGCAACTAAGAGAAGGATGAATTAGAATGAAAAGTGGAACTCAGCTTAAGTTCTAGTGCCCCCTTACATGACTGGCATGTATGATGTCTTCACAGAAGGAAAACTGAAGATGGGTAAAAAGTTGTTAAGAATGAAAGAACAAAGAATTGAGAAGATAAGGATTTGGGAAAATCTGAAATGGCTAAAGAGAATGTAAACCTCCATACTTTGACATAGTTTCTGCAGACAGATCTTCAGGATTCCTAACTTTTGTTTCACCTGTGAAGCAAAAAAAAATCAAATCAAATTTAATTAAAAAGACATTATTAAAGCAGATTAAAACTCTTCAGAATCCTCAGGAGTTAAATAAGAGCAACTATGAGCCCAGATATAATAGTTTTTCTGTATATATTTACTCGGTAATCATAACTGTGTTTGCATCATCTCTTCATAGTCATCTTGGATAATTAAAACAAAGATTAATAAAAATGCTTAGTACTTTATTGCATTGTAGTTCAGAGGTGGGAACTATGTCCAAGTAAAGGTCATATATTGGCAATTTAAGACTGAGGATCATCCCTAGGTTCCTACAAAGTGGGCTTCCTACACAGTCATCTTTTACATGGTAGTTGGCCTCACCAAGACTACTGATCCCAGTCTGTATGGGGAATCAAGTTGGAGCAGAATATTCAGGCATGTGGAATCTTCACTTCTATATAACAGCAGCCACACTAGCTTAACTGTGCAATTACATGGGCCACATTCTTTTCATCCCCACCTTGGCTATCAAGTAGCAATGCTTTGATTATTTCATAGGTAGTCTAAAAACCTCAGTTTTTTGATGGGGTAATTCAGTTAAAATCTAAGTGCAAATGTAAACAATAGTAACTAGAAATATACTGGAACATGAATTCGATTTTAAGTCTAATTACTCACCATGACTTCTGAGATCTAAAGCCACAATCCTACACTGAATCCTGTTAATGATCGCAGACTGCAAGAGGGGACAAAGATGTATAGTATGAAAACTGCCACACCTCATTTAAGAAAGGGGCTCACAATATTAAATGAATCATTGCAACAGAAGCAAAAGCCAAGGTAGTGTGTCAAAAAGAAACGTCAGTGACAGTGCCGAGGCAAGAGTGGACATGGGGCATAGAGTAGCCAGGAAGTCAAAGTTGAAGCAAGAATATTTAGTATAAGTGATCTTTAATTAGTAAATAAAAAAGCACCATCCCTTTCACCATCAGTCAATTGATTACAGGATATTCCCCCCCCCCACACACACACATTCCGTATCTCAAATGAGAAATCAAATTTCTTAGGAGAAAAGTTTCAGTCTCTACAACACCTCTAAAAACTGAAGTGCAGCAATACATTGAAGTGATACTTCCCCTTCCAAGCCCTCACATGTTCCAAAATTAGCACTGCCTCCACAGTAGGCAAGAAGATACGGCAGCTGCTTTACGGCACAGACTCAATTCGCTCTCAAAGAATGGAATTTTACAGTAACACTGAACTATCCCAAATTCAGTGTTCTTGTCCTCTGGGTTACTAGCAAACGAGGAGGCTTTTTAAAGTAACACCAGGCTGCAATAAGATCACGCCTCATTATTTGTTCCTGCCATCTAAATTTACATAAGTTATTTCACGAACCATGGTGATTAAGTAGCATTCTGTGCTGAATAAAAGGCTTCAAAAATAGGATTGTGTGTTGGGAACTCAATCGCTGAAATCATGTCTCAGTGGTAGTGGTGAAATCTGTTGAAAGGCTCTTAACAGAAGGAAGAGCAAGAAAGCACCATCTACTTGATAGGTGCAGACTGACAGTTACGCTGACCTGATGTTTCAGAACTTACTAATTCAAGCCCAGGGAAAATACAATGCTGGACCAAGGGACTAAAGACAGTATCTCATACCTGCTAGGGCTAGAAATGGATGCTTTAGACCATTCAGATATGAGAATCCCTTTCTGTCATTGATGTAGATCATTCATTTCTGGCCCAGCATGTCATGAGATATTGGCCATGAAAACTACATCCTTCTGATTACTACATTTTGTTTCCTTTTCCCAATTCTAAAATAGTTGTGGCAGCCACAATCTAGAGAACGACTACAGCCAGAAACAGACTTTAGACCATTTAGAATCAACTTGGAACCCCAGTTTGCCAATGGTAAAAAACTAAGCGTTAATTTAACCAGCAGTTTGTGAGGTCATCTGCTAAAAATCACAATGTAAAATAGTAGTCTGAATGATGTGATAGTAAGGGAAGTTCTCTCGTGACCTTGACTTACCAGAACAGAACTGCTTTGGTGAGACAAGAACAAATACATCCATGACCATTACATTTACCAATAAGTTGTTAGACCAATGAGAAGAGAGAGAGAGAGAGAGAGAGAGAGAGAGAGAGAGAGAGAGAGAGTAT